GTTGGAGGGGATAGTAGGGTGGATGGTAACGGAAAAATTGAAATTTTAAAAAAAAAAACTTATTTTTGGAGAGGGGGTGGAGTGGGTTGGTGAGGGTGAGCAAGGTTGAGAAGGAGCTTTGGAAAATGTTTTCCCTTCTTTTGATGAGGAAACATTTTCCTCCAATTGGAGGAAAATGAATTGATAAGGAAAATGTTTTCCAAAATATTTAAGCCAACCAAACATGGAAAAATAGGAAAACATTTTCCAGAAAATATTTTCCTTCATACCAAACACACCCTAATTCTACTTTTTCTCTTCTTGATGTGAACTTCTTCTTTATAATATATCTTGCATGATTCAAATAATCTGTTGAAGAAAGATCCTAAAATATAGAAGAGTTATAGGTATAAACAAAAGTGAGATTATTATATGCATGACCGATTGGAAAAAAAAAGACCCACCTGACCAACGTTCGTACATGTAAATAAGGCTTTTCTATATCAAATTAAGCGTGTTAGGATATGCTTTATGAAATATATGTGCAATTACGATTATGCTGTAGTACACAAATATAAGAATTTCTAAGACAAATGCTGAAATGCAAGCATAAACGTAGATTAATTAATAGGAAGAGACAGTCATATAATAGCATGTTTGATCAAGCTTCTCCAATTTTAGAAGTACTTTTTTTTTTCCTTCAGAAAATATTTTTTTTAAAGCTGAAGTGTTTGGCCAAGCTTTTGGAAGAAAAAAAAAGTACTTTTGAGCAGAGGCGGAGCTAGGATTTGGAGTGTGTGAGTTCTAAAATTTAAAATAAGACTATAACCTAAAATTAATATACAATATCAAACTGACTAAAGAATTAATATCGATATTTAATATATATTTAAAAAGTAACGAAAGACAAACACAATATTTGAATATAAACATTATCATTTCAATTGCACTCGACGAGTTGTCATGTTTTGAAAAGGATCAATGATCGCATCATTAGATACACTTTCAAATACTTCATCCTCTATAAAACAAACTAAACAATCATTCAAAAAGTCATCACCAATCCTGCTTCACAAATCATTTTTAATAAACTTCATTGAAGAAAAAGCCCTTTCAACCGTTGCAGTAGCCACATGTAATATCAAACGCAGCTTCACAAGCAAATAAACAAGTCCCCATGACTTGTGAATATCTGTTTTAACCAATGTCTTTGACAGATCACCAAGCCGTTTCAAGTTAGAGAATGCATTGTCCATTTCTCGCACATAGTCAATATAGTTGTCAAGCTCATAACTAAGATCTTCAAGTTTAGAAGCAGTGAACTCATTTGGATAATATGTAACAAGTTTTATAATCTTGTTTTATCATAATTCGCAAAAGAATCATCGGGACTCAAACTAGCCATACCAAGAACCAGAGAAGTATTCACTTCACTAAAACGCCTGTTAAGCTCCGAAAGTTGCAAATCAATAGCAGCACCAAAAAACCTCTACGTACAAATGATTGGAATATGTAACGGTTGAGCTTTTACGCTTCGACTTTCCAAGTGCGTACTTCTCATCCATTTTTGGGATTACAATACCATTCTTATCATAAAACGAAGAGACATCTTCTATCAAAGAATTCCATTTAGATTCTCTCATTGTTTGTAATTGCCTCTTTGTGAAATCAACAAGTTTCATTGCACTTACAATATATTGATCTTTTTTTTTGTAGGGCCATATTCAAATCATATGTAATTGCCAATAGTTTTAACTTCAAATGTAATATACAAATGAACTCATAAGATCTTATATCTTCTACTAGACTTTTGGCTAATGCTTTCTCCTGATAATTTGAACCCTCATTTGCAAGAACTCCAAGTATATGAACAATCTATGAGAATAAAGAAATAAAGTTACACAATGTCTTAAAGTGAGATCCCCAATGGGTATCATCTGATCTTTGAAGCCCAAGTTCTTGATTTAATCCACTTCCTGTATGAACTTCACCAAGCACTAATAACTTATCTAATTTTTCATCTTGATCATCTCTAAGCATCTCCCTACGCTTATAAGAACCTCCAACAACATTCAAAACATTAGCAAGAATGTCAAAAAATTTATTTACATCATGGTGTTTCTTTGCAACAGCTACAAGAGTCAGTTGCAGCTAATGAGCAAAATAATGTATGCAATGTGCCGAAGGATTATCTTTCAGAATTAAAGTTTTAAGACCATTGATGTTTCCTTGCATGTTACTAGCTCCATCATACCCTTGTCCCCATATTAAAGATGAACTCAATGAATGTTGTAAAAGCAAAGAATACATTTCTTTTTGTAATGCATGTGTAGTTGTACCTTTAACATGAACAAGACCAATGAATCGCTCAATAAGTTCACCCTCTTTATTGACATATCGTAGAACAAGAGCCATTTGTTCCTTACGAGAGACATCCTTAGAATCATCAACTAATATACCAAAACAAATCCCCATTGAAGTCTTCAATAATTGCTTTCACCGTTTCTTTTGCACAAGAATTCACAATAGCTTTTTGAATATCAGGAGAAGTCATGGTGTTATTTTTTGGAGCTTTTTCTAATACCACATTTTTCACATCTTCCTTCCTATATGTATACCATTTTAAGAGATCTAAGAAATGGTCTCTTCTAGTAGAAGTTACACTCTCATCATGGCCCCGAAAAGAAATTTCTTCTTTCAAAAGATACCTCATCAATTGAAGCATTCAAACGAACTCGATGTTCACTTTTAATTTTTTCAGATTACTTGTACAAAGAAGTTAGAATGGATTGTGTTTGGTTCAATAAATCTAGCATCATCTTGAAACATCAATTATTAACACTACTCACGTCACCCACATGTGATTTAAGTCTTTCTAAACCTTTATTCTAATCTCTAAACCATCGGTTGTGAAAGCATCACCTACTTTTTTTCCATATCCTCCAACCTCATTTTTAAACAAGTAACAACATAAATAAAATGTTGCATCTTGTTTAATGCTATATTCTAACCATTGAGAACATGAAGTTTTAAATCATTCAGGATTAAAGTGACGCATTATTCCCCCAAAATCTCTTTTTGGAAAGACAAAACCACGAGGTTGAAAAGATCCATTTTATATATAATTTCTCCTTACACGGTCACGTAAATTAGGAGGATATTCTGAAATTGGTTTTCTTTTAGCAGGATCGGGCTCATAATCCCTCACTTTATCCGATGCTTGAAAAGGATTAATATTGTTATTAATAACTGGACATGAAGAACTTGTCAAAGGAGAGCTAGAAGAAGCTGCAGAAGCTTGAGCTTTATAAAAACTCGTGATCATATTGACTTTTGCTAAAAAACCCTAAAAATCACAAAACACAAATTTACTTGAAGTTGTATGTTTCAAAATGATATAACAAACTATTCTTTATCTCCTTTTACATAGTTCAATTTGTAAACTATAATATGGTTTGTTCCCAAGAATTTAAAAACTTAGTCTAGCTAGCTAGTTCCCATAAATTGACAAAGAGAATAGAGGTCAAATTGTGGGACAACCCTAGAATCAAAGATTACAGTCAATCAATTTACGTGGCCTGTTAAGTTGTTGATGTTGAATTACCAATTCTCTAACTTGAGCTTACATTCAATCAATTAATTCAGTTACTTATGGAATTCTTTGATAGAAAATCTCATCAACTATTAGACAAAGTAAATAATCCTGTTAGATTCCGAATAGTTGGACTTATAAAATTATTCATAACTTTAGTCCTAAAATAAAATTCCTTCCAGCGAACCCACACTCCTATTTTCAAGTAAATAATCCTATTTTCCTCTATGCATAACAGCATAAGAGCAGCTAATTTATGTAAACTGAATTCCCGATAAAAATCAAAGATTAAAAATTAAATTTTGCATAAATTATCAAATATAAGATAAAAATATGAAGCAAAAAATAAAAAAATAAGAATTGAAGAAGGAAGAACTAAGAAGGGTCTAACTTTTAATGGAGAAAGAGCATACACTGATACACAATAGAGAGTTGGAGGCAGACGCAGATTGTAGTACCAGTGGTTGTCAATCAACAGAGGCAGCAGAACCTTAGCCTTTTTTGATTTGGGAATTGGAAGAAACGTTTGTGCTTAAAGTTGGGAAGCTTCTGTTCTTTGTTTATTAGAAAGAAAACACGTTATGTTTTATTTATTAAATAATGTTATTTAGTGCCCGTTGAGAGGAAAGTGAAGAAAACGTTGTCGTTCGTTTGATTTGTGAAAAAATATAAAAAAGACGAAATAAAATACCGCTTTAAACGGGAATCGATTCCACATCTTTTTCCAGCGAACCAACAAACATTACCATTGAATCCAGACCTCCTTTGTTACTGGGTTCAGCATGATATATTTATATAGATGTGGTAAATTTTTCAATACAAATACAGGGTTTCGGAAAAAGTCACTGGGTTCGCCCGAACCCGCACCCACTACTGTACCTCCTCCCCTGCTTTTAAGGGGAAGCAGAAGCAGAAAAAATAGTTCTCTTCAAAAACACTTTTTTGAAAAGCACTTTTGAGAAAAATACACTTAAAAATAGTTTTTAAAAGTTTTGTCAAATACTAATTGCTGCTCAAAAGTGCTTTTCAAATTAATTAGCCAGACACAGACTGCTTCTCACTAAAAGTCTATTTTAAAAAAATACTTCTCAAAATAAGCTGATTTTTGCAGCTTGGCCAACCAAACAATAAGTGAGTAAATGAAGAAAAAAGTGGAGAAAGACATTAATTTGGAGGCTGGGAAAAAGGAATAAAGATGAATCTACAACGTTTCTTGGTAGAGCACTGACTCTATCTTCTCCATCCTCTCCAATAACTGCTCTTTTACTATATGTTAGAAAAAGTTGTGTAGTCTTTGGTGTAAATCTTATAATCCAAGAAGCAAAGAAAAGGAAAAAGATAGAATTTTGTACCGTTGATCATGCTTATCTGTACGATGCGTAAGAATTGTTAACATCAATGTGACACCTAATATTAGATCAGATAATGTCTTTTATGGTGAAATGGAGAACCAAGGTCCTTATAAAATTTGCTGAAAATGTCTCTCCATTGTCCATCAAGAGGCACGGTATATATATACATGTAATTATGCATCCGGTACGAATAGGAGCTTTTATGAATTTAAGAGATGGCGGTTAACTGGCAAGTTGAAGAAAGAAGAAAAGGAGAGGGACGCTAATTAGGAGAATTAAATACGTGACTTTTCACTAAATACGTGACTTTTCATTCTTGGGTATTCTAAGCACCTAAATGGAAATAAATGAGGAAAAAATCAAGAAAAAAGATAAATTAAAATCCTGCTCAATGAAGGTGCCACATCATCTCCTTGTGTCTCTCTTTTATATATATATAAATAGATAGATAGATATGGATAGATTACGGGTATACTATTCTTAGGATGATTGTGATGCAGAAAACTCATGTTTCAGATCATACAGTTGAAGTGATTTCTTAATACATAATATCCTCATAGATGTGTAGCTTGAATATGACATTTTTCCTTTTACTAGTATCTATTTTTACCTTTCTATCAATGTGCAATCTGCTTGACACAATCAGAGGGAACTCCAAATGAAGTCCGCTAGTTGCATGAACAATCCTCGTAAAGCAGCAAGCTGCGAAATAGAATATTGCTGGAGTGGAGACAAAGTCCAAGAAGAACTAAAAATCTTTCAATCTTAACTCATTAAGCTAAACAGTTCTGTATGTAGTAGTTGGAAACACGAAAATATTAGTCTTCTTGAAATTAGAGAATATGTAGTCGTGGTGTGCAACCACTAATATCCCCTAAATCCTGATTCCTTCGAAGATGGATTCAGAAATTTAAATTAGTGGATGCAGAATACATGGTACTTAATTTCTTTGCAACAATAGGCATAGATTAATGTGTGTGTATTATAGATGTGTTTGATACGATGAAAAATATATTCATAAAATAATTTTTCCAGAAAATTAGTTGTTTGACCCAAAATTTAGATCTGGGCTCAACCAATTAGATTTAATAAAGTATAGTCAATCTTAGCTAATATTAATATCCAAAAGACAAGTTAGCTAATATTAATATCCAAAAGGAGGGGTAGGGGCCCTGACATAAGGCTGATGTCGTTCCTTGTTTGGCCGTAAAGACTGGGTGATCACTCTTTATGTTATCTGTTCGTTCTCTCCTGAGCTCGGCTTGCACTGAGATGAGCCGTTGAGTTGGTCCGTTAAGGTCGTCATCATCTGCTCGGACTTAGGCACAGTAAGCATTATGGATTTCATCCCAAATGGTTGGGAGATACTATATCAGCCGGCTCAGCAACTTTCTGGTCCTTGAACCCTCTCTACTCAACCCGTTCTAAAAGGCTGCGACTATCATCCCTTGGGACACATTTGGTAAGGTCATCCTTACCCTGTTGAATCGGGCGAGGAAGTCCCTCAGCCCCTCTCCTACAAATTGCCTGATAGCGAAGATGTCTTTTACTCATATTTCGGCTTTCTTGGCCCCGACGTGTGCCATCACGAACTTGTAGGCCATTTCTTAGAAGGTTTTTTGGAATGGGTTGGTAGCTGTGAATACCATGTTAACGCCCCCTAGTAACGGTTTCGCCAAGCTTCTTTAGCAAAATAGAGGACACATGTTCTTTGGTGAGATCGTTGCCCTTCACGGCGGTGACGTAATGAGTCACGTAATCTTCAAGGTAGGTTGTTCCATCGTATATTCTGAGATACGGTGGCATTTTGAAGGTTTTTGGTATGGAGTATGGGACTACTCTCTCGCTATATGGTTCCTCTATGAACCTGTGATCCATGTCCAATCCACACTCAATAATGAGTGAAAACGGTCGCTGGAAGAATAATACCCAACCAGAGTCGGGGTCGATTTCAATAAGGAGTTTAATATGGGTGTTAGAGGTATACCCTTGATGAGAGCAAATAAAATAACTAAATTGCGGTTCCAAACAACGGGTTTTGTTTTCTACTTCTAAATTATCACTAACAATTATAAACTAAAGAGAAGAAACTAGAAAGCAAATGATTAATTTTTGTTGTTTTTGCCAAATGTTTAAAATTACTAGAGATGTGACCTTCACCTAGGTATTTGCCCAATGGGTTAAGTACATTAATGCTTGTTTTATTGATCGAGGGTGTATTATAGCTCTCAACTCTAAGTTACCCACTCAATACCTCTCGGTCATAGAGTGATTTTGTCCAGTTTGAGTTTCTCAAGCCTAAATGGGTATCGAGCTAAATAGTTGATAAGAGCTCAAGTCGGGTTTTTTCTATCTCTAATTCAAATCCTTTAATTAGGCTAATCAAATCTTAATTAATCCAATTTCTTGTTAGCCAAGTTATCCTAGACTAAGTCTATATTTCTCAAGTAAAGGCCAAGTCAAAAACGCATGAACCAATGTTTGCAACCACTAATTCTAAAATTAAAGCATAAATAAGGCTAAATAATCAA